TACAAAAGCTGATACGTCACTTCCAAAAATTAATCGAAAAATAGATCTCAACATCTCAGTTTCGTTTCTAAATACCGACATTGAATGCTCAATAAAGTTGAAGTATAAGTCAAGAGCCAGTCAGCGGTGCCATAAATGACTCGAAATGCTGTCAGTAGATGGCAACACTTGGGGCCTCCCTTAGCTCAGTGCACAAAGGCGCAGCTACAAAGCAAGACCATGCTGGAGGTGGCTGGGTTCGATTCCCGGTCCGGTCTAGCTATGTTTCGGGTTGGAAAATTTCTCGACTTCCCTGGACATAGAGTACCAGGGCATTGTACTTGCCACACAATTATACCAATGCAAAAATGGTACAGGTATCGAAAGCTCTCAATTAATAACTGTGGAAGTGCATCTAGAACACTAAGTTGAGAGCACGCAATAAGCTAAAATGCGATAAGCATTTAGCTTGAAATGCGAAGAAGAAGAAGACGAAGAAGAGGAGTAAGAAGAAGATGGCAACACTGCTCGGGTAGAATCAATTAAAGCACAATATCTCGATATCGTTTCAAGATAGCGACTTCGATTGTTCAGAAAACTTGAAGTATGGTTCAAGAGCCAGTGAGGCTTGCCCTCAATGATTCTAAACTCTGAAATGGCATCACAGATAGAGTAAATCCAAATGAAGCACACTTTTTCGATATCGTTTCAAGATGACGACTTCGAATGTTCAGCAAAGTTGATGTATGAGTCAAGAGCCAGCCAGTGAATGTTTGAAATTCAGCCAGTAGATGGCATCACTGCTCAAGTAGAATAAAATATAACTCATAATCACTTTATCGTTTGAAGGCAGCCATTACACGCCAAATGGCAAATCGGAAAAACTTAACCTTCATAAACAATTACGCAAAGTTTCATGCAAAACGGAGAAGGACGAGTTTTTCCGATGCGTCATTTGACGTGGAACTACTCTATCTGTCAATTAGGAAAATACTGAATCACTTTAGGAAAGTTAGGAATCACTTCGAAAACAGATTGAAACGCTGCATACAATTTTGGCATCACTTCGGAATGTACTGAATCACTTCAGAAATGTTTTCAATCCTATATCACTTCGGAATCATTTTTAACCACTTTGGAAAGTACTGAAAAACTAAGAAAAGTTTGGTATTAGTTCAGAATTCACTGAATCACTTCAGAAAAGCTTGGAATTACATTGGAAAGCACCGAATCATTTCAGAAGAGTAAGTACTAACTTCTGCAAGTTCGAATCATTTCAGAAAGAACTGAATCATTTTATAAAAGTGTGAAATCGCTTCAGAGACTACTGAATCAGTTCATAAAAATTTGGAATCACTTAAGAAATTACTGAATCACTTCAGCAAATTTTGGAATCACATTGGAAAGTACTGAATCATTTCAGAAGAGTATGTAATAACTTCTGCAAGTGCTGAATCATTTCAGAATGAACTAAATCATTTTGTAAAAGTGTGAAATCGCTTCAGAAACTACTGAATTAGTTCATAAAAATTTGGAATCACTTAAGAAATAACTGAATCACTTCAGAAAATTTTGGAATTACATTGGAAAGTACTGAATCATTTCAGAAGAGTATGTTATAACTTCTGGAAGTTCTGAACCATTTAAGAAAGAACTGAATCATTTTGTAAAAGTTTGAAATCGCTTCAGAAACTACTGAATCAGTTCCAGAAAGTATGTTATCACTTACGCAAGTACCAAATTACTTCAAAAAAATGGAGATTCATTTAAGAAAAGCTGAATCAATTTAGAAATGTTCGGAATTACTGAACCACTTAAGAAAAGTTCGAAATCACTTCGGAAAGTACTGAATCAATTCATAATTAATTACTTTCCAAAGTAATTCCAGACATTTGTGAAGTGGTTTAGCACTTTCCGAAATGATTCCGAACATCTCTGAAATGATTCAGTGCTTTCCGAAGTAATTCCGAACTTTTCTGAAGTGATTCAATACTTCTGAAGTGAATTCAAACATTTATGGAGTGATTCACTACTTTCCGAAGTGATTTCGAATCGTTCTGAAGTGCATCAGTACTTTCCAAACATGGTTGATGAGATTCCGCTCTATTTCAGTATACACGAGAAATGTTGCCATCTCTCGGTTGAATTTGGAATCAGTGATGGCAATCCTGGATGGTTCTTGACTCACATTCCAAATTTGGGCTTTCATGAAATGATACCAAATATTTGAGCTCTACTTCATTATACTCAAGCAGTGTTGCCATCTACCTGCAGAATTGTTTATCATTCATAGCAACTCTGACGGGCTCTTGACCCATACTCCAACTTTGCTAAATACTTGAAATCATTACTTTGGAATGATACCGATTTTTTATTTATATCTTTATTAAGGAGACTTTCAGCCGTTGGCTGGCTCGTCTCCGAATATGATACCGATGTACAGCAATTCCATGGAAAAAAAACAGAACTAGAGTAACCGCACCAATAGCGGAGATACGTTAGTGCCTTTATGTGTTCCTATGGTGGCTTGTGGAGACTTTGCACTAACGAAGGGGGTTACGGCAAGGTGATGGACTTTCGTGTCTGCTATTCAACATCGCATTAGAAGGGGTGATCAGAAGAGCTGGGATAGACACAAGTGGCACGATTTTCAGGAAGTCCATCCAGTTACTAAGCTTCGTCGATGACATCGACATCATGGCACGGAACTTTAATACGATGGCGGAGAGGTACATCAGATTGAAGGCTGAAGCTAGGCGGATTGGACTTGCCATCAACACATCGAAGACAAAATACATGAAAGAAAGAGGTTCTAGGGAAGACAATGTTAGCCTCCCACCCCGCGTTCAGATTGACGGTGACGAAATTGAGGTGGTCGACGAGTTTGTGTATTTGAACTCACTGGTGACCGCCGAAAATGATACCAGCAGAGAAATTCAAAGGCACATTATGGCAGGGAATCGTGCCTACTTTGGACTCCGGAGGACGCTCCGTTCGAATAAAATTCGCCGCCGCACGAAGTTGACTATCTACAAGACGCTGATTAGACCGGTGGTCCTCTAAGGCCACTATACCTGGACTATGCTGGTGTTTTCGACCGGAAGGTGTTGCGTACCATCTACGGTGGAGTGCAGATGGATGACGGAACGTGGAGGAGGCGAATGAACCACGAATTGCACAAGCTGCTGGGAGAACAATTGTCCACATTGCAAAAATTGGGCGACTACGGTGGGCTGGGCACGTCGTAATAATGCCGTACGACGACCCATTGAAAATGGTTCTTGAAAGCGACCCAACAGGAACAATAAGAAGAGGCGCGCAGCGGGCAAGGTGGATCGAACAAGTAGAAGGCGACCAGCGGACCCTTCGCAGACTACGAGGCTGGCGAAGTGTAGCCATGGATCGAGTAGAGTGGAGACGACTTCTTCGGACAGCAGAGGACAACAAGGTCTTAGTCTGATTGCTAAGGTAAGTCAGTATTGGTGCGTTTACCCGTATTTTTTTTTTATAATTTCGACCTTTCTGAGTTAGGCTGGTCCAAAAAATCGTCACTTTTGCCGGTATACCCAAATTTGAAAATCCATAACTTTTTAACTACTGGATCAATTTTTGATCTTTTTTTCAGCAAATGAACGGTATTAGGACTACCTATAAGAAATATGAAACTGTAGGCGATTTGAGATTTGTTTTCCGTACGGCACCTTCAAAATAGGGTTGCTTGTAGTTCCCAATCGCTTCCAGTGGAACCGTTTTCGTAGTCGGAATCTGCACTCTGGGCGATTGTTATCTTTCTCGACCATGATCTGCCAATAGCATTCCAATTTTGCAGGAACCACTCCAAAATCAGTCAAAATTAGACCGAGAGTATGCGGGTTTAAAAAACATCCATTTTGGAGCATCGGTGTCAGAAGCTCGGTCTGGATGTTCCACAAATTTGCACCAAATAAGCCAATTGGACCGCCGCTAAAGACGCCCTTAAGCTGGGTTTAGACAGGGCAAGTCAATTGATCAAGTCAGTTGAATTCAACTGACTAAAACGCGGATTGAACGTGTAAACCATGCCATTCAACTGACTTGATCAACTCACTTGAATTGAAATTTTTTTAACCAAGCTCAATTTTCAAGCCAATTGAATTCAAATGAGTTGATCATTTGACTTGCCTAGTCTAAACCCAGCTTTACTGTACCCTTTTTTGAAATTTCTAGCTCCATAATCTTTAACAGTTGTCTAAGACAAGGATCTTGAAATTAGTTCTCAATCGATGTCTCTTATGTCTCTCGATGTTAATCCTGGATCTTGAATTTCTGTGCATCATGAAGGGATTTCAAAGATTGAATTTAATAAATTGTTACTTAAGAACTCATCTGTAAACATCTTTACAAATTTGTCAAGGTTTTGCTAACCCTCAAAATGTCTCTCTAACAGTCTCAGAATTCCTTGCCTCAGAAAAACCCCACCGACCTCGGCTGGGATTGAGCCCAAACCCTTTGGAGTGAGAAGCAGCCACGCTTACCACTACACCACCGGCGCCGACCCATGATTTTACTTTGAGGACTTTACAGGACACTCCATGAAATGATTTTGATTGAAATATTTCAAATGTTTCCAGTTTCCCTACACTGGAAGAACACTCAACCACACATCAATTGTGATATCCATTACAATGATTTCAGCGATCACTAGAAGGACCATGTTTAGCAGAACTGTTCGAAAGACATAATCCACAACTCCACGACCGAAATGCCTGTGCGGCACTCAACTCCACACGCACACACACACACACACAGGTACTCGTCCGTACAATCCCGTTCGCCAATGGAATTCAACACCTATACCAAAACCCACAGCGATCTTCAACAAACTTCGAGCTGAGCTCCTTTCTTCACCCTCAACGGAGTCACTCGTTTCAACACGCATACACTCTCGCAAATTCGCTCTCTGTTGCTCTTTCTTGCGCGCGAGAGTGAGCTCCCGGCTACCACTGTTGCTTCGACAAACAAGCACCTTGTCCAGTTTGTACCCACTCGAGCCGAATCAGTCCCAGAGAGACGCTCGTTCGGTGTAAATGGCAGTGATCAAGTAGAGGCAGCCAGTCGTCAGTAGCGTCGTACGGAACGTGTGTGTTCTTCGGCGTTTGTTTTAGGGGAGACAAACCGTGTGTGTGTCTGTCTGTCTGTCATTCAGTCAGTCGGTCGTTCGGTCGATCCGATCCGGCGAAAACCACGAGACGAAACGGCGGGTATCCGTCACTAGCTTGCTAGTAACATTAAGCGCAATAGTAGCAGCAACAACGAAGAATCAACAGTAACAGCATCCATCTTTGGCGACAACGGACGGCGGAGGCGGAGGAGGACAGATAGAGACTGGAATAAGAAGCACGCACGTTCGGTGTATGTGTGTTTGTGATTGGTGTGTTCATTTGTTTCTTTAGCATTACATATTTGTTTGTCTCTGCTTTGCGAGTTGCAAGTTGAAGCACAGAAAGAAGGTTGACAGAAGTTTAAAAAAAAATGTTACGATAGCTGTTTCAGCGAAGCACGGAGATTGCTGTTGTGACAGAAGAAGTAACAAAGAAGGCGAGATAAAAGTGTGCATTTTTTTTTTTGGAGGTAACGGTTCGAAGAAAACAGTGCCGATTTGCTGAAGAATCAAAGCGATCCAAATTATGAATGAAGAAACGGTTGAAAATGGGGAGTGCGTGCAGTGGGAATCGAAAGCACATCAAAGGTGCAGTGAAGCGTGAGTGGATCGGATTTCGACGACACAGGACACGACACCCGAACAACACCACATCATAAAAGGATACGGGCAATCATACGGCAAAGAAAATGGCGTATTTTCCAGCTGCTGTGGCAGAGAGTGCATAGGAGAAGGGGACAGAGCGCGCCGACGAGGGACCCCTCGCCGTACCTGGCCCTGGCATGTGCTTTGTGTTCGGCTGGCTTGCGTTCCCTCTTGTATGCGTGCACATTGACGTTTTCGTCGTTTGTTGTACACACAACAGACAACGCAGCGAACGTCGTCGGCGACGGTGAAGAGAAGAATGATGAAACATTGCAGGAGTCGTTGGAAATGCCGAAATGACGACGATGATGATGATAATGACGATCGACTAAAAATTGATGAATCACTTCTGGAAGAGAAGGGGACGAACCGAAACGTTTACTGATGACTGACTCGTTGAGACTCTATCTGAAACACGACTACTCAATTCATGTTGACTTATGCAGGTATTCCTATTACCGAATGAGGTTATTAGTATCGGCATAAAACTGCTGGTAGTTCCACGAATGTCTTGTCAGCATCTAGCCAGTTGTGGCGCTGGAGGTGATAAACCGTGGGTTGGCAAATTATAGGGTAATTTGAGCGTGCGACACACTAAACAAAAAACTGTCCAACGACGACGACGACGACGGCTAAGAGACCACGCGTTGCCAATTAGTAGCTGATTGATGTTTTGCAACCGCAGCTAAATTTTATGTCTCCGTGCAGTTCGATGGCACAACAACTCGAGAGAGCCAGTCGAAGGAACTGTTTTCAACACTTTGTGTATTTGATGTTTATGTTTTCAAATCTATAAACATCGTTAGGAAAAAAAAAATAAATCATCCAGGGCCCAATCAATCGTTGATCCGTGTGTGGGACGGTTAAGCCATAGCGTATCTTCACAGCTTCATCATAAAGACAGGAAGATAGAGAGAGAAACCTGCACCAGTTGATTTAACTGTTATCCCCGTTTTGTTGTTGTTTCCAATAGCGCAAGCCATGTTTTCTCTTGGATCATAATAAAATACAATGTTGCCACGTTTCCATGGGCTTTCGCAGCCTCTCGGGCCCGTCCATCCCGAACGGCACACACAAAGTGCGAAGAAGGCTCACCAACATCAGCTTTCTTCACGTACCCACTACCTCCTAACAACCATCGCCATCCCAAAACGCCTGTGTGTGCGAACGAGAGAAACTGAAGAGAACACACGGGTGAGGTGCTTTTTAAAAAACGAAAAATGCACATACAGAATAGGAGAACATGTTTGTCCGCCGGAGCCCCGCCGGAGCCCCGCCGGTCGTCGGACCAACAAGGGGGCCAAAGAGGAATACATATTGAAATTCTTCAATCGTTCCATCACGGAATGGTTGGGCTACATTTTCTCACGATCGTTCGGTTTGGAGGTTGTCTTCTTCCTCCAAAATCGGTTGCTCTCCCGCCTGAGTTCAATACATTTCGAATAATAATAACAATAACGATTAGCAGCAGCGCGATGATGGCTGCTTAAAATGGCTACGCAGGCCGGGCTTTCAAGCCTGTCGTTGCTACGCAAGACCTGCATCTGTGGAGGTTAAACTGATAATTTGCTGGCCTGCTCTCCAGTGTGCTCAATTATCTCCCCAGCGAGTAACCGAGTATACTTTCCAAGGGCTAATTGATAGGAATTCTCACCCGTCACCGGAAGACCATTGGCAGCAGTGACGAGTGCCAATTGCGGCTTCCGTGTGCTCATCAATCATACCTAGTAGCTGATTCCCCTTTTCGGCGGTCAACCTTGTCTAAACAAACGACCGAAATTGGTCGCATCCATTTTGTTCATCGGCCGAATGGAATTGATTGATTCCACCGCCGATTCATGCCGGATTACGAACCGACTTGATCATCCTTCAAAGCAGTGATTGAAGTCGCTTTAGTTGGATTAATGCACCGACGACGACAACGACTACAGTGACATCTATCAGCCAACCGTTGCAGTTGAAGGGTGATAAAAGAGGCCTGTGTGTCAAAGTGTAAACAAAGAAGCCAACTGTAAATTATATACAGTAACACCTCCATATATGCGGTGGGTGGTACCGTCCACCCACCGGTTTTTCTCAGCTGTCTTTGAACCAATTCCGTCGATTTTATGTATGTGATTAGTGTCAACCAAAAACTAGTTATCTACAGAAAATCAGCATACGGAGCGATTACTGTAGTTTAAGTTTTTCCGGGCAAGTGCAAGACCGGTAAAAGGAAGAAAGTTGTTTACTGTTTGCACTGTATAAACATGCCTGAATAACATGGATTTATGGGAGACTGTGATGCGCACAGATGTGGATGACAGCATCCACAGCCGTGTGGAGCCAGTCGCTCCGAGATGAATCGTATTATAAGATCTGCGGTCTTTGGCCCTTAGATTTGAGGAAGTTAACAAATTCCGCCGAACGAAAGGTCAACGCAATCTACGCACCTCCTACGTATTTTCGGTTGAATTCAAACTACAAACACAATCGAACGAACACAAAGCGAAGATTTTTAGCGACTCGGCATTAATGGAAAGCGCAAACAAATGTTTTGTTTAATAATGCCGACGACTCGGCGTTTCTCGTTAAAGCGTTCGGGAACATATGGCAAAGCGTTGTTGGGCTCGTGAATATGGATGAAATATAAAAAAAAACTGCTAAGCTTCTCCAGCTGGATGGGGACGGGTTGAAGAAAGACAAATTGCAAAAGCTTCGATCGGAAGAATTATTGATTTTGTTCATCAAAGCAATTACGAGTCAACTTTTTGCGGGAATTCAACTTGGATTGTTTCAAAATCAAACTTCACATTTCCTCCAGTGTAGGAGAACGATTTCCGAAGCTTAAAATATTTCGAATGTAGAAAAATAACTAAAAATTTAGCACAACTTCACCCATTTCTTGCGTCACTTTTCAAATAGACCAATCAACATTGAACGAATCTCTTCATCACCTCTCTCTTTCGTAAATAACTCGGCTGCAAAAACGTTTCCAGTCGTCTTTGTCGGATTAGATGCTACAATGTTGCTTCGAACTGTGTGGCGCAAATATCCGGATATATCTTAACACAGTCGATGTTAATCCAAAGAGAAAGTCGATGAAGAGAATCGTTCAATGTTACTTAGATCCCATTGAAAAGTGACACGAGATTTTCGTAAAAACTAAACAGTGTTTAGGAAACATATTCAAAACGGAGTTTAAAAGTTACTCAAAATCAGTGCTGCAAAATCTCGACAATGCACGGTGATAGTGACAATTCTGCTTTGGTTACTCATTTGAGCTAAGAGTCACAGTCAAGGCAAACCATGTCAATTGTCAGTGACAATTCTTTCAGTGACGAACATGTATACATATTTTAATATGTACATTTTTTTAACTCAAATCCATCGGTGCAGACGTCTATGGAACACAGCCTGAGTAACCTCACTTTTTGCCATTTGTAGTCGAATTCGACTGAAGTTTTCGTTACTCTCATTGGCCGAGTAAATCATTGCACGATGACGTTAACAATTCTGGATCAACAATAGAAAAGGACCCATCAGCATTTGTAAACAAACCGTTCCAAAGCCCATTCTTCACAAATCGAAGGCCGCTCACACAAACCAACACCATTATCGTGTAGATAGAATTTTCCCCTATCCGATGATGGTGTTGGTTTGCGTGGGTGGCCTTCGCTTTGTCCATCCACATCCACATCCGAAGCCATTCACGACCGATTAGAGTAGCTCGAATTTGAGTCGAATGCAACCCAAAATTGCAGTTTTAGTTGACGTCATCGCGCAATAATCTACTGAGGCTGTTAACAATTTGCCGAGTTAAATTTAACTCGTGGTTAAAAGTGACATTTCGAAAGCTATTTTATACCCTGGACAGACTATGGCTCATATTATGTAATACAAGCTGTCTTGCAATGAGCACTCATACATCTAGTTTTCGCTGGAAATCCTATGTATGAGTGCTCATTGCAAGACAGCCTATATTACATGATATAAGCCATAGTCTGTCCAGGGTATTAAGCTGTTGTCGATCGACCGATTTTGGAGCAGAACTCAACCACGATTGTCAAAATCTAACTTCTAGTCCGTCAGAAATAACCACACTGAGGCAAAGTAGCGTAAGAATTCCATAAGAACCACTTATAAATTTCAGCCACAAGAAATCAGCATGTATTTCAAAGCTTTGCCTAATAAACAATATTGTCCGCAAAAAAATAATAAAACTTAGCAGACCGAAACCGAACCCTGGACGTTGAGAGATTACGGGTCCTGTGTCTGGACCACTCGCCTGTCAACGCTTGGGAAAATGGAATGGCTAATGGCTTGAAGAGCTACCTCATGTTAGACGAAAATCTTTCATAAGTCGTGCTTATGAAATTCATATGTGTCGTTCATAAGTCGAGCCTTATGCATGCTCGGGTAGCAGCGTTAATCACGATCCCTCCATCTGTCAAATTTTACCTTTTATCCCAAAAGTTTGAAAGAAACCGCAAATGGTTCAGAGCCTGAAGAAAACATGCTTGAAAATCTACTTGGACATTTCACCCAGTGCAGAACGATTGATGCATGAAATGCTTCAAGGTATTAATTTGATCAAAGTCAATAATAACACAGATTGAAGGGGACAGATGATTTACTTGCGAGAT